TTGTTGCCTTTGTGATCCTATTGCTTAATGGGTGTTGCTGCAGGTTTTGGAAGAAACAGGCTTCGATATATCAAAAAAGTTGAAAATAGATGACCATATTGAAGTTACTGTTGGAGAGCAGAGAGTGCGACTCTATATAATTGCTGGTGTGAATGAAGATACTATGTTTGCACCACAAACTAAAAAGGAAATTAGCGTATGTATTTTCTGCATCCTGACTCTGGAGTACCTAGTTTTTGTTCTATGTAGTTGAAGTATGACAGTATAAAGATCTTTATTCTAAAGAGCTATTGGTGAAATTTTACGAATTGGTGCAGATTGTATCATATATTTAATTTATGAGTGATTAGAATCTGTTCAAACTATCCTATGGAAATAAACAAGTGCATGTTTAGTGTATGGATGAGGTGTCAGTGATGATATTGCTCTTAAACCTCAAGGGCGAAGAGATGCTTAGCCAGCTTGAGCCTACTAAATCAAGCTTTCTTTCAGTTTGGGGGAATAATAGAACTGAAAAGTGCAATAATGTTTTATTACATGTTGAAGCTACTGTGAAGCCTAACTGATCCTCATTTTTCTATTGTTAAGAAATTGAACAAAATGCAGCAGCTTTTTTCTATGTTTAAGAATTAAACAAAATCTAACAGTATTTTAACTATAAATATTGATGGCTCTATATTATTTGTTGTGGTTAGGAAATCTCGTGGTTGCGGATTGATGAGCTTCAATCAGCAGGCAATGATGTAGTATCTCATGGATCAACTGGTATTAAGTTTTACATGGTTGGTCCGTTTCTGATGTAAGTATGGCACTTTTGATGTTCGAGGAGATTTTCTTTCTTCAGGTTTAACAATTTGTAATATCATCTTGCAGGCCTCTAAAAGCATGGATTTCAGCACACCAGCCTCCCACCACACAAAAATCTGATGCATTTCACAAAGGTATATGCTTCTCTTATTTGTTCTGTTATGACTTCAATTTGAGTATTCGTGTGGGTTCAAGGAAGCAATTGCTTTAGGATAGTGAAAGGTTTTGGAGTAACTCTGTAATACGCTAGTGTTTGTGTGTGTGGTGACACCTTATTGCATTCAAAACAAACGTTAAAGGGAACCCAGCCGCCATTAAAGCTTGAGAGAGCAAACCCAAAGAGTTTTTCCCCAGCCACCGGCGTCGCCTTCGATGACCAGTGGCTGGTCCTTACTTCCTTCTCTCTTTTTCTAGTCATCTTGTGTTGTTGTCCTTTAGATCTAAAACCCTTTTTTTTAGATCCTTGTTTTCCAATTTTTTCAATTGAAGATGAGTGTTTCTTTTTATCTTTTATGCTTCAATTGAGAAAAGCTCACATTTTTCTTCACAAAACCATGGTTTGTTAATCTTTTATCTTTCGATCCATGGTTTGTTAATCTTTTATCTTTAGATCCATGGTTTGTTTTTCTAGATCTAGAATTAATTCTAAGATTCATGGTTTTCAACTTTCTCAATTGAAGATGTGTGTTTCACCTTTATCTTGTATCTCTTTAATTGAAAGCCCACTTTTTCACCAACATTGAGTTTTTCTTAGAGTTTTTGTTTTAGATCTAGTTGGTTTTTTACGTCTTTTTCAGCTTGAGATCTTGAGGGTGTTCTTTTTTGCTTCAACGGGGGGTTTTGAAGTGGTGCGTATGCGCTTTGCGCGGTATTTCTCTTGATCTTTTTGTTGTATTTGGTTCTTTCTATCATCTTTGGTTTGGAGGAATTTCTTTTTAGAAAATCTTTTTGTTTGGTCTCTGTTTTCACCATCATCGAGATTCCCTTAGAGTTTTTTGTTTGAATTTTGGTTGGTTCTTTGTGGCGATTTCAACTTGTGGTCTGGATGGTGCTCTTTTTGCTTCAACGGGGGGTTTTGAAGCGGTGCTTATGCGCTTTGCGCGGTACTTCTCTTGATCAGGTTGTTGATTTCGACTCGTTTTATCAACCATGGTTTTGACAAATTTCTCTTAAGATATCTTTCTGCTGGGTCCCTTCTTCAACTTTCGGGCTGTCTTTGGTGCCTCGAAGTTAGTTCTTCGTTCAACCTGTCATTCTTTTCAGTTGCATTTTCGTCTTTGATAATGTTGGTGTCGCAGAAGCCTTTGGGGGATTAAAGCGTAGGTGCACTGTAGTATAAAGCATTTTCTCACCTCTAGTCTTGGATTGTTTATGCGTGCTGGGGTGATTTGTTATGGTTAAGCTTAGTTTTATCTTTTTTGTTCTTTAGTTGGTTGAAAAGTGTTGTTTCAGCTAATCCTTGTTTAAGGAAAAGCCTTGTTTCTTTAATCCCTTCAAAGAATATTCTCTTGGGGATCTTGTATTTGCTCTTGTGTTTTATCTATATAAATACGCTTTCATATAATGGTTCTATACAGTTGACCCTTAAGTCGAAGAAATAAAGGCAATCATTAAAAAAAGTAAAATCATTCACTCGGTATATCCACGTCATGTAATGATTACTACTCGGAATACTCTTTATTACGTTTGGGGTTAACACATGTAGGGATCAGGGAGGTGGGTAACTGTTTCTCTTAGACTTAAGGTTCACTAGTCAGTGATTTAATTTGGTTTTGCTGATAAGTTGGTCTTATGCTTGAAGGAACATGTGTGTGGAAGGCAAAGAACAATTATATGGGAGGAACAGGATTGGAGAGCCAACTGGCCAAACAGGCAACTGATGTTCGTCCGATAGACTCTGGCCCAGGAAAAAGCTTCAGGAACTTCAGTTTTGATGGTACCTCAATCTTACAAGCAATGGCAGCTAGCTTCCCTTCTTAACAAAGAACAAAGCTCTGAGAGTTCGCCTTTTGTAAAATTCGTCTATGTCTCTGCTGTGTTCCTCGTGTATACCGATAACTATAGGTTGGTCATCAAGCTCAAACCTGAAAGTGGAAGAGCAAAATCTGCTGCAGTAGATTCTGTCGACTCTTCCTTGTTGCCTACTGACCTACTGTAGATTCTGTATAAAATTGTATGGGACACAAAAATGGATAAATATTAAAAAGAATGAGTATATTCTGCTCAGTGTCTCAGTTTACTCTATCTTCTCTCTTTGCTATTGTTGTTGTTTATGGATGACTGTAGCCATGAAAGTATAGCAAGTTGCCTTGGTTCACTATGTAGTTTATATGTTGAATCTTGATGGCTATGGCATTTGGTTCTGTGATCATTAAACCCTCAAATTTAAAATCTCACTAAACAAAATAATACTGTAATTTAATATCTGAATTCTTGTCTGAGCTTAAAGGGCTTTGTTTTGCTCCCAACAAAACAGATTAAGCCCAAACTAAAACCCAAAGTATTCATTCCGGCCCAATAAGCAACCACAGGGATATTTTAGTACAATGCAGAAAGGGTAAAATTCTAGGGTTTCAATTCAAAACATTATAAAACTGTTGATTTTGTTATCCCTATCTCTTTGCTACTAGAGGTGAGATGTGAGCAACGAGCATGACTTGTTAAGCGATATCTTTTTTAAGTTTGTTTATTGTTGAAATAGTTTTGATTGAATAATAGTAATTGGATTATGATGAAAGAAGGAGTTGGTGATTATCAAATGATATGATCCTAATAAAAATTTCTCCTTTTTTTCGCTACGTTCTTTCTGAATCCAAATAATGTTGATTTTTGTTGATCAGATGATGAAATTGAAAAGTTATTCATCTTAGGACACTTCCGACACAGAGAAGTTTTCTGTGTATGAGAATAATATGTTTCATTTCTGATGATTTTTTTTTTAGAATAACCAAATTGAAAGATTGCAGTGATGACTATATAAAAATTCAAGCTCAACAGACTGGAATGCAGTTTTCTTTCTTTGAAAAGAAAGAGAAAGAGATGTGTGTGTCGACAACCCAAATTATGATCTGAGCTATCTTTCATAAACAATCCTAATAATTGAACCTGTTTTGTTTTTCCAGAAAATTAGTGTTTTTCAGAAAATGGTTTGCAAAGTGTATAATATTTTGTTTATGAGATGATTCATTAATCCCAGAATCAAGACCTTAATAATCCATAATTTCTCTTGGATTATATTAATATTAATTATATAACCTTGGAAGAAAAAGGGATTGTGAATTGTTATTGAGGTTCTGCCTTGTAATTGTAAAGTGTGGAACATACTTTTCAACTGTTCACTCCCAAGATTGCTATGACCAAAAGACCATTTGGAAAGTTTATTAGGAGATGTCTTTATGCCCAGAATTGCTTCAAATTCCACTGGGAGCATAAAAAATTATCGAATTTGATTTTTTTGAAGCCCATTTCATTTGAGGTTGCATTTCAAAGGCCACTTCAAGCAGCATCAGCCACTTAACTGAAGCACTTGAGGTAGCCTTTCATTGCCCGTTTTACCAAACACTTTAATAAAGCTGTATTTTAAGGAGTGGTTATCCATTAGAAGTAGAAGTAGGGGTGTAAATCGGCCGGAAAAAATAAATTGAAAATAGGAATAAAAGAATTTCTTCCAATTCTATTCGTATTTTTTTT